CTGTGGACAGTGTTTCTGATAAAAATACTGTGGACTTACCATCTTAATGCCTTGCGTACCAGGAAGTACTTGAAGAAGGGAATACTTCTGACGGCAGCGTACAACACGGCCTCCCTGTGCCACTCTCCCAGGGTCATGTTCTCTGATGGCTGGTCTGGGTACACATGGAGTACTCCAAATGTGGAGAATACATAGTGCTCTGGATTAGCCTGAAGTGCAGGCAGTGAGACTATCTTAATAACATGTATCAATAGCATGGATTTCTTAAAATACACTGTATAGGTGTAAGGACAGAAAGTTGGTTTGAATTATCAAATAAATCCAGATCATATACAAATTAAAAAAATTTAAATCAAAATGAAAAGTATAATATTACAAAAAGGTAAAGCTTTTATACATTTCCATCATCAGATTTTATAAATAATCTATAGGCTGCCAACAGGTAAAAAATATCTTTCTTAGATCACACAACCTTATGACATACTTCAAAGAACTATAATCAAGCAATTCGCTACAATTTTGAAATCAACCAACCTGTTTATCAGTGTATATATTCTACTGTTAATGTAAGAGAAAAATAATCACAGTCATATAGGCTATATTAATTAATGGCTACTGTACCTTATTCTGGGGTACAGCCACTAGATCATAGGGTCTGAAGTGTCTGTGAGGGGCAATGTTAAAGTACATGTGCTTTATCTTCCCTACGTGATACAGCTTGCCAAAATACTCCACTGCTTCTCTGCCTGTCATGGGAGGGGGCGGCTGACCCTGGGGGGAAGAAAGACAAATTAAATATTATTCAGATGATTGTTATTGTACATACTAGAAGTCTGCCATGTTAGACTACATGTAGTTTTAGCAAAAAATTTAAGATAACTGGACAAGTTCAACAGGACTAGTAAGAATTGTAGCAGTTGTTTTATATTGCTTTTCTATAACCTAGAAATTGTATTTTCAGATCCTTTCTTTTGCCCATAACACAGTTCGCCTTGTTTACATAACAATATTTTCTCTTCAGTCACCATCCCCAGCCTGCTATATATGTTTTGAGAATATGAGTACACTAATAAGCTCAGGTATACAAGTACATGACACTACACATATTCATACATACAGTAAAGGGTAGTAATCACACGATTTACCTTTTCAGTTTCTACTGTAATCTTGATTTCTTCTCCAAGTTTTTGCAAGTCAGCTACCTCTGATGGCGGCCTACTGCTTCCTCTGCTGCTGGCACCACTGCCCTTCAACTCCTCCTGTAATCAAATATACTGAATATTAACATTTATGAACTTAACTATAACAAATGAGATACAAGCAAAGAGAACTAAATACCACTGCTCCTCTCCAAAAAAAAATAATAATAACAATAAAATAAAATAAAATAATAATAATAATAATAATTAAAAAGGCTAGATAAGCACCTGCTCAGAAGTAGCAAACACATCATTTGCTGTTAAAAAAATTCATTAGTCCTAATTTCTACAACTCACATCATTTGCTGTTTTTTCACTAACTCTAAAGCAGACAGAAATATTTCCTCAAAACAACAGGCAAGTAGTTTTTTTCTTTTTTTTAAACTTTATTTAATGAGGGGAAACGTGTGAAGCGTCATCTTATCTTCCACATGGCTCTCTGATACCAGTTTTTCAAGGGTAGTAGTTTTTATAAGTTGACTAGTATGTAATGAAATACCCATACTCTATATTATTAATTACTCATAAAGACTATATATCTTAACTAACAGGATGCAAGAGTAATAGAATGGTGAATAAAAGCTATATATATAATGGTATAATTTTACTCAAGTATTTACCTCAGAAAGCAGCTCCACATTCATTGCCTGTGAAGTAAAACCAGCCGAGTGTTGCCAAATTGCCTCTCCTGTAAATTATAAAACATAAATATTACATGGCTATAAGATTATAAATTACAATCACATGCGTCTACTACTACTGGTCAACACCATAAATTTCATGTATAACATTTCTACTATCAATATATTTCATCAAGCACTTAATACTGAAATTGAAAAAAAAAAAAACACTTTCGTTTCTATCTTTATCTACCAACACTGCAGAAAATAGACTGTTAACTGTACTTTTTCAAGAAGCCTATTAAAAAAATACTTTACAAATAATTCTTAATCAAATCTTTTATTGTTGTAAATATGTAGTCATTTAGAGAGTATTTAATTTTGATAATAACTCACTAGAAGCCAAATCAGCTGCCACTGTGGGCAATGATTTACTGAGATCTCCAAAGGTCAGAGGTTTAGGAAGGTACTTCTTCTCATCTCCCTAGAATTGTGATAAATGACCATGAAGGAAATGTGATATTAAAAACTTAACATTTTGATTGTATATACAGTGTTACAACTTAATTAAAATAATTTTTTCATCAGAGAGCATAAAATTGTAACCAACTCCAGTTTTAAGTGATTGTTTTTATCATAAAGTTCCCAACAGTCAATACTTTAAATAAATATGTAGTAAGAGATTCTAGAAACAGTTTGCACTGAGAGAGAGAGAGAGAGAGAGAGAGAGAGAGAGACAGAGAGAGAGAGAGAGAGAGAGATATGGGGGTAACTTACAGCTCGTTCCAGTGTATAAGGATCCTTCCCATTTGGCAGCAGCATCCTTGGAGACTTTGTTGGGCCTGTCCTGGTTGGAGACCCCCTAGGGGAAGTTGTTGGAGATGGGGAGATAGGACCACAGTAAGTACGGACTGGCTTTTGGATTCTCATCATATCCTCGGGAAACACTTTATTTAGAGCATCTACAGTGTGTATGTCAAACAGTCTTTCTTTGTGTGTGTCCATGTGTTGTGCTGCTCTCTCCAAGTAGTGAATTAGCTGAAAAAGATATCTCAATTGTTAATGTCTTTTTTTCCCTCAGAAAATCTGCTTTCATATGTAAATGAAATAAAAAATAATAATATTCAAGACAATGAAAGACATTCAAATATTTAAAATTATTTAAAACCACTGCCTTTTTTACTTTACTTAAAAGTAAAGGACAAAAGGAAATAACTTAACTTCTACATAACTATATTTAAGAAAGTTCGACTGAGGATGCTGTTTTTAAAAAGCGCACATAATATTTTCCTAATTTTTATTTTCTCCATGACTCAGATCCTACCTCTGGTGAGCCTGAGAGATGACTGGCACATGGAATCAACTGCTGTACTACCTCTGTCAAGAAATCCCATGATGAACGACTGGAAAATAAAGTATTATATGGCAGCACATTTACTTGTATAATAAATGAAGACTAAGACACTTGTGCACCAGGGTGACCACATTAATATAACAGATAGAATAAGACTGAAAAAAAAAACAGCGTTTCTAAATAAATTTTTAAAAATACTTTAATTTCCTTTTAAAAAATCATAATTTGCATGTTATGTTATAAGTAAGAGGATTAAATTTTGCAAACTCTGGATCAAAACAAAACTTGCTACAGTTGTGTTTAATTTCTATTCTCTTCATATTATACTGTACCTGTCCTGCTGGAGTGCTGTAATAAACAGTGCAATCAGCTCCTTCCTCAGTGTCACTAAGTCATCTGGGTCTGGGTCCTCTGACATCTCAACTCTGGAATAATACAATATTATTATAATAATCATCTGGGTTTGTAATCGAATGTAATTCTAACTCTCATTTTGAGGGAAAACAAAGGAGACGGAGACCGAGAGAAACATGAAGGAGGACAGCAGAATGGCAGAAGGATGACAAGAAGGAGAGAGGAGGTAGTTTCCAGGGAAACCCCAAGGCAGAGAGACCTATGTAGTCTTAGCTTATTATCGATGAGGACTAGTGTTGTAACTCTTAATATACACCACATGTATTTCTTGACATGAAGCTGGTTTCACAAAGAGACTAAAAATCAAAATCAATTTCACTAATAAAGTATTAGTCTGTGTGCATCAGTATATGAACATGCATGTGTTCATGCTTACTTGTACATGAATGTATGTATATGTGTGCAGACTCAGTGAGTGGTAAGACTGGTCATAAATGCTCACCTCTCCCTGACATCCTTCAACCACAGTCTGGCCTGTTCCTTGATAGGCATCTTGACAGCCTGTGTGGGAGACACCAGGCTCCTCCCACCATTGATGACTGGCAGCTTGGCAGAGCTGGTCACGTTTGGGTCTACTGATGTCTCAACTTTGGTTGACATTATTTGTTCTTCTTTCTGATTATCTTTTTACTGTAAAAATGATTCATATATTGTTTGCATATTTATTCATGCCTTCATGGAAAAAAATGAATTATGTCACGCCATGGCGAAGAAATTAAATGAAGTCTGTAATTTGTAGAGAACCATCTATACTTTAACTGAACTTCTTCTTTTTGTATATGAAGAATGTTTAAAGAAATAATGCGAACTTTTCTCATAATGAGATGGACTTCGAGACTCATATATCAATTTTGTAGCCAAAAATATAATTTCTTATAGGAAGATACTTATCCTATTATGTAAAAATCCTTTTGTAAGCATCAAAGCTAACAGCGAGCCATTGAGTGATATCGACAGCGATAATGATTTGGTCTCGATTTTTTTTTTCGATTTCGACAGGTGCTTAGCGCCTCTGATTGTTGGGCTGCATTTTAAACAAAACAGCTTTTACTCCGATCGCATATACTTTTCACTTGGTTAAATATTACATTTCTTGGATACATAATCACCGTTCGTTCATCTACTTACCTTCATATACCCCAAAAACATTGTAAACTTTGATAACCTGCGTTCCCGAACTTCGGGTTGCCAAGTCGCCATTTTCAATCTTTACCTCAAGCTCCGCACATGATTATTTGAATGTAAAGTTTATTTTAATATGATAAGCTAAAATTATGTGATATTCTTATTTTAACTTTTTTTCGATATACTTTGTAATGGGTGAAAAATAAAATGTTTTGATTGAGTACTTCTTATGATATTAATTTGCTATGTAAGCATTTTGACCAATCAAATCAAAATAATTAATTTACTCCGAACCAGAGAAGAGCGCCATATTGAAATGCGAAATGAAAACAAAATTTCCGATCATTTAACTTTTGTGATATTCCATGCGAAAAGGTATGGTTGTGTACAATGTTTTCACAATTTATTGCGTCTACTTTCACAGTTACGATGTTGACCCTTTGAAACTTTGCGTTCACGAATCATTTTTAATAGATTCGTCCGTTTTCATTCCCTCGTTGTCAGCATCAATTTCATTGCAGTCGAAAGGAAATTCAAAATAATGGGTTTCGTTATCATTATGTTTCTAAGTTGCGGCCTTTGTTTGATTCGCTTAAACCTTAAGTACAATATCATTGTTTCCTATTGTCAGTGTAGTTTAATACGAGGTATGCTTTAACAGCTTCTCTTGTGTTGATTATAAAATTGCGAGAATTTATTCATTCAGTTCAAAAATGCAACTGAAAGTCAGAAAATAATCAATAACAATATCAAATAACTTATCTCTTCATTAAAAGTTTGAATAACTTTTGCAGTTCTGTGATACAAGATGAGTGCCAGGCCTCGCCCCATCACTGCCACTGTGAGAACTGCCTCATCACGCAGACAACCCACGGGACTGAGACGTAGTTATTCCTCAGATTCCAGTGGCTCCACGGAGTCGCTGATCTCTGTATTAGACCACGACAGCTACAGTGATAGCAGTGTCTACAGTGATGGAGAGAAAGATGAAAAGAAAGTACATGCTGTTGATGATGGAAGACATGGCACTGTGTTTGAAAGACTTCAAGCTGATGAAAAATTCAGAGCACTTAGGTAGAAGAGACTGATGTTTTTCCATTTTTATTCTTTTTAAATTTTTACATATTTTTCCAAGGTAATTTGTAGGTTTTGCTATTTCGTAGGTCACATATGATATAGCACAGGTTCATTTACAGCGCGACTGAATTTTCAAAACTTTTTACCAAGAATATTACCACAATAGAGATTCTGAGTTCCTCTACCATTTTCTTTTCCACTGTAGTATTTACATTTTACAATTTTCTCATGATCTGAAATGTGGGCCTTTTTTATATTAACTTTCAAATCTTTGTTATAGGTCAGAATCTACGGATTCAGAGAGTCGCACAAGAAGCTCAAATACTAAAAGTAAAGACAAAGAGAACAAGAGAACAGCCTGGGAAGACTGGTTGGTGGAAAAAGTGAAAAAAGAAAGAGAGAGGTTAAAAAGAGAGAGGTTGAAGCTTAAAAGACTCTCTTTAGAAAAACAGAAAAAAGAAGACGAGACAAAAGAAAAATTAAAAAAGGCCGAGGAAAACCGTGAGAAATGGATCAGTGAGAAGGATTATGAAATCCAAATACGGAGGAAGATGGAGAGACAGAAAAAGAAGGCAGAGGAAGAAATAAAAGCAGAGGAGAAAGCAAGAACTGAGCAAAAATCAAAAGAAGTATTTCAGGAATGGTTTGAGATGAAAAAACAGCAGAAGCTGGAGGAAAGGAGGAAAGCCAAAGAGGAGAAGGAGAGAAAGAAAAGAGAAGAGGAGGAAAAGAGACAACAAAGTCAGCAGGCCTTTGAGGAGTGGTGTAGAAGGGCCAAGAGGAAGTACAAGTCGCTGAATACTAGCTTTGGTTACACTGGAGGGAAAATGACAGGTATTATTATTATTATTTATTTATTTATTTATTTATTTAATTATTGATTTTTTGTGGGGTGAGGAGAAGCTGTACTTATCATAAATATTTGAAAAGAAAAAGATGTTTCTGGTAATGAAATTATGAAATTGATATAAATTTACAAAGTCTTTGAGGTGTATATTGGTTAGCTGAGGTAGCACTAGCACTAGTCAAGGGTTGATTTGACTTGGTTTAGTCAATTTTTTACCATTTGGAAAAAGTAGTGATTTGGCTATGTGAAAAAAGCTGCTGGTGCTAACCCAGGAAAGCCCATGATTATGAATGGATTCCAAACAAATTTTTCACAAAACGTTTATTATGTAATTACCCATGCTACAGTACAGTTCAGAAGAATGTTATACAAGATAAAAAAATATTTGTGTTTTAATACAGTGTTAATAAAGAAACATGGCACATAGTTGTAAAGATACACATACTCTTGAAAAGCAGAAATAACATTCAATTAACTATATATCAATATAAAGTACAATTATGGCATGAAGGCTGTAGTAAAATTCATATCAAAGTGGAAAGAATATTCAGTATATTCTGCCATAATTTTGAGTACAGAAATCCAATTGTTTTATCCAAAGCATAAAAAGCAGGACTAGATTCCCTTTGTAAACTAGTATTATATTGCAGTATGAAACCCTAAAATTTTTAATAAAAAAGATTAAATTTGTTTTTGCACTCGAATATTAACAAAAAAAAACTTTCTTTCAAACTCTTTTGGCAACCCAGGTACTAGTAAAGCAGTATACATGTATCCAAGTTTTTGACATTGCATTATCTTACTTAGTCTGAAAACAAACTTACTTCTGCTTACTATTACGTACAGTACTCAAAGGCATAATGCCTGAATGGTACCTGGATTGACATAAATTTACCATACAAATGATGCTTGATTACTGGTACAGATCTTTGGCATTCAGGAATGGTAACATTTCATGTAAGACTGGGACTATTTGACAAATACATTTTGATTTTCACTGGTTCTTTGGTCAGCCGTAACATACACGTTTACCCTCACATAAAACAATATCAGTGACAAATATATAACATATGGCAGTGGCAGAACTAGTAAGTGTAGAAGCTGGTAGTATGCTAGTAGTGAATTTCAAGTCTTTTGATTTTGAAACATAATTTACAGTCAACTTAGACTAAAACTGCACATTTGTACAACTTCATAATAATAATAATAATAATAATAGTAATAATAATAAAAGAGGATGTTGTATGACACATTTTATCACAGGCATGATGTTATATATAATTTAAATTCTCATCAACATTAAGTAAGGCACTGCACTGGCTGAATACTTCATTTCTTTGTGTTAGGTGAACTGAAGCTTTCACGTGATTACCTGTTGCTTCAGTTTCTTTTTTTTTTTTTTTTTTTTTTTCAATTGGGGGACTCTAGGAAGGAAGAGATAGACTGGAAAGATATAGATATAACTATTTGCTTAGATTTTCTGAAGTGTTATTTAAAATTGGTCTTCTAATCCAATGGTCAGTGTTCAACTTTTGTCACTATCTGTTCACTGGTCCAGATTTAAGAAGTGTCCACCAAGTATGGTCCTCAGATGACCAGACGTTAATCAGTCTGTCCAGCCTGTTGGTCATCCTCATTTACCTGGTCGGTGACTTCCTGACCCCCCTCATCATCCCCCTGATCACCCTCATCCTCTGTGTGGAGAAACTCTGCATTCTGTTGGTCAGCTGACTGAGTCAACCCCAGCTCCTCCTGGTGGTCTTTGTAGTAATCAGGGGTGTGGCCAGCCTAGGGAAGAGAGACAGTCAGTAGTAGGTCAGATCTTACATTGTTTATGGCTTACTTTTCTAGAGTCTCTTAACAAACTTTGATGTCATATTACAGTACTTCTGTGTGTCTGAGATGAGTGGTTTAGGTTGAATGGCATGGAGTTGTCAGAGCACCTAGATATTTTTTGTTTTCTCAGACCAGATAGTCTTTTAAGAAGCATTTGGTTTTACAAGATGACAACTGGGTTTATTTATGATGACTTTTTATTTTTTATTGTTATACACTTATACTCCTAATTGTTTTTTGGGGGTGGGAGGTAGTTTAATTCATTCATTATTAGAGAATATCCTATGTTCATCTTACCACATCAGCAGTCTTGTCATTGGCTCCTGCCTCCATGAGAAGTTGAGCCATCTCATCAGATACAGCACACGCATAGTGGAGGGCTGTACGCCCATACTGAAAACCAAATAAATAAGTTGTAAATTGATTTATTAATTATCAACCAGTTATATTAGACTCAAAATAGGTCAAGCTTACAAGTAGTATTGATGGTATTAATGAATACTTTCAATTGTTTCAATATACTAGGGGTAAGCCAGACCCAATCTGGGTCTAAATTGCTCTGGCTTATTCATAGAATGAATGTGACTGAATACTTAATATAAGATTTTAAATCCAACTTTATGAAAGGCAGACACAAAATAATGGCCAAATTACTGACAGGGGAGAGATATGTCACAACATGGCTGCGTTTTGCGGAGGTCACTCACATTGTCTTTACACTCCAGTGAGACTGTGAACTCTGTGGCCAGGTATTCGAGCAGGGCCACTGACCCCTTGACCACTGCCTTGTGGAGAGGACACTGTCCACTGGCATCTCTGGACAGAGCCAGGACCTTCCTGTCCAGGAGTTGTCTCAGGGTCTGGACGTCTTCTTGGTCAGCTGCCTGCAAGACTTGTCTGGTTTTTTCCTGTAAGATGTTTGAAAGGTTGAAGTTTCTTTGTAGGTTTTCTACTTGTGCAAGTGAGATGTGAGTTAGAGTTTACTGCTTTGTGTTGAGAAGTGAAATGATAACAGGCATTCTCATAGGCTGTCATATTTATTGTTGGTGAAAAAAATGAAAATAAATTTTCATTTTTCAAAAAAAAAAAAAGAAATAATAATTTACTAGTAAAGAGGTTTGAAATGGATTTTTGGCTTCATTGTGTTTTGGGCAGAATTCTAGAAATACCAGAAGACTTACTTGGAATTGATTGACTGTTTCCATCGCTTGCTTCATCTTGGCTACCTCCTCCTCACTTTTATCACTAGGGGGCTCTGGGATACTGTCATAACCATCCAAGACAAGCCTCTGGAGGAGTGGCATGTTTTCTGCCTCCAACTGAGCTAGGATGAACTGATCTGAGAAAAACATATGATATAACTGATTTATCATAAGATATATTTAGTTTCTAAGTGATTATTCTTTTCCATCAAAAAGTAAATGGGGAAATGAGTGAATGAACTGACATTTATTTACAAATTATGACAGAAGATAATCTGAAAATCGTAAGAAAATTCCTGCAGAAATGAAATGACATTGTCTTTTTAAAGCACTGGTTTGAGTTTTGGTGAATACTTACCGATGGCGTCCACATGTTCAGTTCTGCCTGCCTCCTGTGCAATATCTCTGGCTGTCTTGCCGCTGATGTCACGTTCAGCGATGTTGTACCCTTCCTCTAGTAGCTTGACTATGTCAGAACCTGAAGATAAATTCATGATATTAGAAGATTTAGGTGTGAAGTAAGATGGTGGGCATGTATTATGTTCTTCTGGGACTTCAGCTGCACTGGATGAAGTATCCAAGAGAGACGCAACGTCTTTAACTGGGTGTCAGTAGCTTTTTAAAGTTCAGTCTTGTTATAACTAGTGTGTATATATATATATATATATATATATATATATATATATATATATATATATATATATATATATATATATATATATATATATATATACAAGTGTACAGAAGTAGAAGTCTTGCTATAACTCACCCTCAGTGGCAGCAGCTCTGTGAAGTTCTGTCTTGTTATATATATATATATATATATATATATATATATATATATATATATATATATATATATATATATATATATATATATATACAAGTGTACAGAAGTAGAAGTCATTTATACTCACCCTCAGTGGCAGCAGCTCTGTGCAGTTCTGTCTTGCCAGTGTCATCTTTCTTGGTGATATGTTCAGGGGGAGAGTGAGACAGTTCGTCCTCCTCCTTTACTGTAGGAAGGTCTGGTGGATGAGCAAATGATACTTGTTCTTTGGCTCTAAAATAAAGAGGAGCAGTTTGTTTTGATAAATAGTCATCCATAGCCAACACACTATCATACCACTGGCCCACATGAGGCCAAAATGCACAACAGTGGCATATAATTCTTGGGGTCTTTTTTACGCAAAAGAACCGAAAGTTTTTGTTTTTTGACTAAAAAACTTCATTCCATGTCATTCCACTAAAACAAAGTAAGCACTAATACAAAATATTCACATTTCTTTCTTTTAATAAAACTTGAATAATGTGACGGTCAAGTGAGCATTCTTATCAAAATGAACTAGACATTTTGAACTAAAAGTTTAGACCAACTTTTTGGTGTGTTAACTTCTATTGCCATTTTTGAGCAGCTCTTACTCAAGACTTCTTCAGTTTGTGCTAGAAACTCTCTAAGCCTTTGGCCCTTCTGGACACCTAGGCAAGTGAAAAAAAAAACTACTAATTTTACTTAATGTAAACTTTGTCAATAAATCTGGCTTGAAATACATTACTTTTTCTGCAGCTCCTTCTGCTTCCTCTCTTCCTCCTCTTTCTCCCTCTGAATCCTCCGCTGTTCCTCGCGGAACTCCCTCCTCTCTGACTTGAGCAGGTCCTTCTGCAGCAATGCTTGCTGGTGTTGGAGGGTCTCCTTGTGGAGCTGTCTGGCCTGCGAGGCTTGCTGGAAAACATATCCCAGACATGGTTGTCAAATATTGTTTTGAGTTTTTATTTGATTTAAATCATTATAGATTTGTTTTCTTGTGGAAGTTAACCTGTGTTGTATTGCCATTCTTGTTGACATAGTATGCTTTCAATAGTTTGTCTATGTATTGAAAAGTTAAAATTATTCAGCATTATTCATTTCATGTTATTCCAGTTTTTTTTTTTGTTTTTTTTTTTTCAAATCCATATACTTCCATATGTCTATTCCCCTTTTAGTCTGTACCCATTTTTTTTTTCTAAACCCACAGCTCTGATCCTCAGGTCTAGTGTATAATAGATGAGGCAATGACTAGGAGCAGAACACACTATGCTTTCCTTTGAAATTCAACAAAACAAAAGTTTATTGAATCCCTGGTTTTTCATATCCATCTTTTGTGTTGTGTGATTTGTGTGGAGTTACCGGTTTATTGTGTGGTGTGGATTACGCTGCACACTCAGGAAGAAATTACAAAAACTAGACGTAATGGGCTTTTTTTTCCTGATTAGCAGAGACCCTGTAAAGATTGTGTGATTAATCTTAGTCAGGTAGATCAATATAAACTCACTTGGTTTCTCATTGAAATCTTTTTCTCTCATATTTTTTTCATTAAAAGAGACTTTGTCTGACTAGCTACAGTGTTGGTTTGGACTGTAGGAGTAGGATCAAATACAAACGGTTACCTGTTAAATATTGACACGCCAAACACTGGCTGGGGGACAATGTTTGAATTACACAGATTTCAATAAAAATCGCCTGTTGGCCTCTAATGTTCACCAAGCTTAGATACAATAAATTTAAAATTTTCAAATTTATTTTTGTCTTTTGTGTCTGCTCATTGTGTCTCTTATAACATAAATAAAAAAAACAAAGAATTTTCCTATCAATTTTAAAGGTTTTTAACATCTTGAGTACTGATTATGTGGTGGTGGGCAACTGTTTGTCAAAGTTTGTTATTTGCTTACATTGGGGAGGCGGAGCCCTAATAATTACATTTTTTAAGATAACAAGAGAAAAGTGCTTGGAAGCCTGATTAAAAGAAAACAAAAGTGGCAGTTTGTGTTCAAGGTAGTAAAAAAGTTTAGATAAGGGTTAGTGTTTGTACAAAGCATTTTAGAGAGAGCGAGAGAGAGAGAGAGAGCAGGAGAGTGAGCGAGGTGTATCAAGTTTTTATTGATTGATATGGTAACAAATGAAATGAAATGATTACGTGTGACAAACGTGAAGTGAAGTGAAAGAGAACCAGCCCAAGCAAGCAATGTCGTGTATTGTTTTTCTGCCTGCATGTATTGATTTTCTTAGAACTGTTACATTTAAAAGTTGGTGAGGCAGTGGCAATAATGAAGATACGAAATCGGTCAGGTCCCTGTAATTACAGTAAAGACATTACTTGTTTAATGCCATAATAGTTTGAACTTAGTACTTGCCAAAGTAATAATAGCTGTCAGTAATACTAAACATTTCAATTAATATTTGTACCTCTGACATTTAAAGTGTGCAATAAAATTTCAAGTAGGTGATTTTCTTGCATGTAAATGTGGAATTTGGATGAAAGGCGGTGATTTCAGAGATGAGATTTATGTTCCCTTGTTTGAGTTGGTAGTGAATGGTTAGCTAATGTGGTGTTTGCTATTTCTAGTCCTTCAAATTTGGTAAAGTGGGAAAAAAACATATAAGAAAAATAAAAAGAAAAGGGGAGCATGAAAAAAGAGAAAGAGCAAAGGGAAGGGGGTTAACAGAGAGAGAGAGGGGGAGAGGGTGATATAGAGAGTGAGAGAAAGAGAGGGTGATGAAGAGATTAAGATAGAGTTGATAAAGAAAGAGAGAGGGAGGGTGATAAAAAGAGAGAAAGAGAGATGAAAACAGACAGTGGGGCTTTGGGAAGAGCCGAGAGAAAGAGAGAGAGAGAGAAAAGGAGAGAGATACTGACAGCCCTACCTCTTTATGGTAGTCCAGGTTCTCCCTGTGTTTGTACAGCCAGTGGGCCAGGAACTCTATAGGATCTGTGGGTCTTTTCTCTGCTATCTCAGCCAGTGCCTCCACCAGGGCGGGCCCCAGCTGGTCCATACTGTACTGGGTGTCTGAGGCACCCACGGGAGGGTCCACGGGAACACTTTGCATTTTTTGTTTTATTTTAGCTGGGTCCAATATTGATGTGGGTTAATCCTGAGAGACTAGGGTGTCACCGTGGGGAGTAGTTCTCTGATTGTTCGATCAAATCTCAGGAAATATCGGATGATCTTTTCAATCTGATTTCAATATCAGAGATACTTAAAATTGTAACTCTTGGTCCGTTTTTTCAGTCACCCGATGAAAAATAATTAAGAATTTTTTATCCAACTAAAAGTTAATTTCCTCTGGGTAAATTGTTCCTTTTCAATCTGTAGTCACACCTTGTGGTTTCTCTCTTATCTTGTCCTTAATCAGTCAGTTGCCCCTGTTTTATCTCTGTCGTTGTCAGGGGATGAGATGGCGGTCACAAACATCAAATTTTACTTTTCCTCCAGAACAGTAAATATTCCTGACCAGCTCTCAGGGCCAGTGGGGTTCTCTTCCTCCCTAGTAGCAGCAGTTGAGAAATAATTCTTCCATCCACCTGTTTTCACAATTTCAAATTGACCTTCACCCTCATAAACTACAACACAGCCGACCCCAGTTGCTATTTACCCTGACGACTTCTCTTTCAAGTTTCTCCATCACCTCGTTCTCAGTCCCGCCTCACACAGCACACATCTTTGTCCCCTATTTGTGGAGGTCGCTCAATACTTGGCAAACAGACCCAGCGCCACAACAATGCCCTGTGCTTTAATGGCATTTAACCGTTAGAATCCAATCGAATGGAAATTGTTGACTCAGGGGCTCATAATTGTTGACTTTGCGCAAGTAATTATTGACAACAGTTTATCTCATTGGAGAAAGCCACCTTTTGATGCTGGCAGTTTATTACTGGGTCTGGGTTAGCACTGTTCAGACAGGCTAAAAGTTGGATCGGTTCATAGGTGAGAATTAATCAGCAGAGGATGTGGTTGATTCCCCCTGGGGTTTAGGTGACTAAAGTGGAGTGGAGCGTCTCTATATATACAGGTGGGTTTGCACAGGAACCACAGTGGGGCCTCTGCATCTCAATCCAGGGGGACTAGACGTGGTTAAGTTCTTAGACCTAAACCAGTTTTGCCTAGGTTTGTGTCTGAATGGTCTTGATGATTGGGTCTTGGTCAGTCTGTGTTGTGGTGATTTATTGGTCAGTATATTGACCAGTGGCCAGGTGGTGTAGTGCACTGGAGGTATTGAGGGGACGTGATTTCTGTTTGATGGTAAATTTCTAATTAAAATGGTTGAAACTGATAATTTTTTTTTCTTTTTCATTAGCAATTCTAAGAATTGTGTTGTGACTCCCACCCCCTCAAAAAAAAAAAAAAGGAAACAAAAATTGGATCACAAATATTAAGCTAAAATGACCCCATAAACCCATATTAATTTTTTTTTTTTTTTTTTTTTTTTTTGGTAAAGGGAGGGTGTACTTTAATTCAGTTGAAATTGCCCGCCTACACATATATTTATAATCATATTTCTCTGCCTCCTTATTCCAGGCTACCATGACGGCAGCTCCTATCCCGTCCCTAGTTTTATCAACCCAATACCATGGCAACCGGTGGCTATCCCAAAACCAAAACAGGAGCAAGGGAAAAGCAAGAAGAAGACAAAACCTTACAGATGGGATCCCAATAAGTATTATTAAGTATGTGTCTGGTGTATTACCGTGTATGACAACTTGTCAAAGACTGCACAACGCAGAAGGGCACGTGCATTAATTGGACGCATTATTACTGCGAGTTTGTGTTGAAAATAATTTGATCAATCTCATTTCTTGTTGAGGTGTGTGGATAAGTTCAGATCAACACAGGTGATAGGACTTTCAGTGTGATTCCTTTAGTTCTCTTTTAAGATCTTTTTAAATATCTTGCAGTGCACTTCTGCATGTCAACATCTTATGGCTAATCCTAACATGTTATAATGTTATGGGGGTTAATTCTGTTAACAGACCATGTAGACCACAAAAGCTCCTTTCAGATTATTCTGTTATGTAACAGCCAGACTTTTTACTTAACTATCTCTTAAAACATTGCAATATTGTTAAGTACACTGCACGACGTGAGATTTGTAAGTTTGTTTTGTCTTCAACTGTCTCGGCTCAAACATGGGCATGTATGCAATGGGTATTTTAAGACTGTCTCAGCAGCTTTAACAAAAGCTTCAAGTTATTTATATAAGTAAACAAGATCTCTGTAGCTCTCCACAGTGTTTTTGTGTGCTTTTGGCATTGTGATACTATTATAATAGATTTAATTTTTTTATCATTATTTTTTCAGTTGAAAATGTGAGATTGTTATTAGAAGCTTCCTTAGATGTTTACTCTATGTAGTATGAATCATACTATGATGAAGCTATATTTAGTAACAGTAATTACTCAAAATATTTGAACAACATTTTTTGGTTAAAAATATCAATTCAAAAGAATTGAAATTTTGACTAGCTGATAAACTGCTAGTAACAAATTACAGTGGACACAGTGTGTTAAACAAATAAAAATAAATAAATAATTGCTTGTCCAGTACCCAGACTCAGTGACTGTTGTGTGTGTTACACTTGTGACCTGCTTATTGCTCAAACCACGAAGATCAATAAATGAGATATGTTTGCTGTTATGAATTGTTTGTTATTATTCTGATCAGCATCTTATTTTGTAGTAGAAAATTAACACACTGATATCATTACTTAAGTAAAATATATATTTTGCATACAAATATCTTGCGTAGTATAAATATTTTAATGTTTTTCACATACTTCAAATGTATGTAAATGCTATATATTTTGACTTCAAAACTAGATGTTAATTTTAAAATAAAATAACAAAGAAATACCAAGGTCCCAGATATTGCCAGTCACTTTTTCTTAGACAGCGACTATTCAAAGAGAGCATTCCGCTTGAAAATAAAGCAAACAAAGACATGAATATCAAAATTATATGATTTCCTTATAGGGTTGCACTCTTAATTTGTAGTAACTTCAACTCGAGCATATAAAAATCTCTGCTAGAGCTAGACCTACAGATAATTTACTTCAACTGGAAGGAATGAAAAATATTCCAAGAACATTTGTCAATTTTCCACTGATCTGATTGAGAACACTGCTGTAACTAAAATATTTCTGTTATTTAACTAAAACAACTTAAAGGGCGTTCTCAAAATTGCCCTATCACAGTCATAATTTAATAACAAGAAGGAATGTAAGATTTTGCCTTGAAGTTCAAACATTTAGTGTTCTTGAAAGACTAGACTATTAACTGCTTGAATACGAGAACCCCTTATTTATCTAACAAAACAATTTGTTCACACTTCAAAAATTATAAGTGTTTTATTTTTTTGACTCAATATTTGTTTTCAAAAGGATCTCCTCCAATGATAGGAAATAAAGGGAGCAGAATTTCATGTAACTTCTTGGCACACAATTGCGTTGTCGTAGACATGAACCTTATAACACAGCCTGTGACTGGTCCATTCTTGGCCTCCAAACTTCTTGCTACTTTAAGAGGACTTATAGAAAATACAGTAGTATTATCATATCGAGCACCATAAGTTTTTGACTTTCCAAGTTCAATGAGCAAGTTCCTGTTAAATTCCTGCAATTTTGGTCCACATATTACCATTACTCCTGCCACGCTGTACTGTCCCATGCCTTGTTTTATGGTTAACCAGGGTGTATCCTGTAAGCACTGAGAGTCTCTGAAGATGAGTTGGTCACTGTAATGGACACTGACAGTACTGTGGTATCTGAAAATATATGATGGTTCACATTTACATGCTTGATTTTTTGGGAAAATGCTTTTAAACTCCAAGACCAATTTTTGTCTTAACTGACCTCACATATAGCATTAGTAGTTTACTTTAAATAGTGTTAGCATCATTTCCATCAAATGAAAATGCTTGATATTTTAGACCAACTGTTCACTTAGTCAAATATACCACTATAAAATTGAAACAGGGCAAATATTATTCAAGTTTACATTAACTTTCAGTCTTAAGTCATAAAGTAAAACATAAGGCAATTAACAACAAATAAATTAACTTAATTAATTCAATGTGAAAAACAATTACCACATTTTCAAAAGTTTCACATATCTTCAAAAATGTTCTACTTAATCAAACAAAATATGGTTCTGATAATGTTACTTTTTGAAGTCCCAGCATTCTCCTCTGGCCATTCTACCTGAAGTGTACCAATCCAGAAGCACCAGGTTACTGTCTGTTGCCATGGTAACCAGCTGTGTCTGCTCATAGATGGCGTCCTTGTAGCAGACAATGGGATCAGGGAGAACGAACAGCAGAGATCCTGCCTGAACCTGGAAGATTTATTAATAACAAACTGAAATTATTTCTATTATACCACAGTATCTTTAGTACAGTATCTCAAAGTAATCTCTCTTTTTTAAGTTTCACTGTATTTCTAATTCAAAATTTTAAGGTGAAATTAAATCTTTATTTGACAGGGTTGACTTGTTGCATGTGTGTTTCTCATGTCTAACTTGCACTGATGAGACACAATGATAGATATTAAATTATTTAACTGGAGAACATTTCGGGTAATTTTGTCAAGCAAATATCCTAAAATCTTACCTCATACTTAAACTGCTGTCTGGTCACCCTTCCATCCAGGCAGTGGTAGACTTTAGTGGAGGACTGTGTGGTCATCATCACTGCTATTCCTTCCTCTACACACACTTCCAGATTGACCTGGTCACCTCCCACCAGCCCTCCGCCATAGGATATAGCATACAGCCATTTACACTGACTGGCACTGGCATGTTCTGGTAGTAGCAGTTTCAGCTGGAAGGAAATTGTGAGACTTATGAGATGTTGACTATAATATATAACTATAATATATAACGTGAGAGAGTGAGAAAAGGGAGAGAGAAGATTGTAGTGTATGTTAAATTGAAATGTGAGTTATGATATAAAAAACCAATACTATACAAAATTTTACACAAGACAAGATCTCTAGAAATCGCCAGTTTGTCAGTGGTAAACATATGAAGCCAATAAGTCTCCTTCACCAAGTTACAGAAATTGTGATCAGTTTTATTTTTACGAACTGAACTTTATGCCAAAAAGAGTATTTAACATACAAGAAGCAGAGACACACACCTTTTTTATTCCATTCATTTATAAGTTGCTTATTCACTCTGTCATTTAATAATATCTTCTTATTTACTCATATATTGACCATCTCATCTAAACATCGTTTACTTACTGGATAAGTGTAATACAGTGTGGTAGCCTGACAAGGCTTGAATTCAGCCTCCACCCCTGACCTCTGTTCACTACTGTACAAACTGTAGTTAGAGGACACTGCAAACCTGACCTCTCCCTGAGCTGTGGCTGCCTGGCGGTCCGTTGGAGCGGACATCTCAGCTAGCTACTGGGTGCGCTGGTCAGCTCATTGTGTCGGCTGAATTTATGCTATAAAAGACTGAACTTCATTAAATTCACAACAATGCAACATTGTCATGTTTTCATCGTAACCATATAATAAACAAAATACTGAAAAATGTATGAGCTGTCTGCTAATTAAACTTCAAAATAAACTGCACGTACTGTACATCTTATTGAATAAGTTATTCTGGAGATGCGTCTTCAAACACTGTGCCTATAAGTGCATGGTCTGGGTAGGTATATCACAATCCGCTAGGGGCGCCACAGTAGTAACTATCCAGGGGCACTGAAGCAAAACCGACACCAACCTGCTAACAGCTCACCTACGACATCCCTTTTTTTTAATCTCTCTTTTAGCGCCATTTAAATAAACTAATACAAGCCATTTACTAAATAAGCTGTAAATCAAAGAGTAAATTCCGGTCACGTGCTTTTCCCGTGTTGCAGTCTTAGAGAAATTTTATTTGAGGACGTTTTAAAGTTTTGCCTCGACAAAATGTTTAAAATTTGAGATAAGTACTGCATGGAAGTGTTTGTAATTCACGCCAAGTAAATTTAATGAAATTTGCAATATTATGTCAAAAAATCATGAAAATAAAACCATGCGAAGTATAGTTTATTTGATGCGCAATATTTATAGTACAAGATCTGCACGGGAGCCATCCCAGCCATGTGCTAGTGCGGTCGCCAATTTGGGTTTGTTTCCGGGTCATTAGATTAACATACAGTCCTAATTGCCCTAATTGGTCACAAGCAATTGAGCTGCAGCTACAGCTGAGTGATCACCGCTGGTCAGTGGTCACAGGTTTTTAGCTGAAGAGTGTGGACACTTTTGGTGAAATTTTGCAGTTAAAAAAATTCAATATCTTTGTTGCTTGCAGGAATATTCTAAAAATTCCAAAAGAATTCATCTGTTTTTTGCATTACCTTTCAGAAGATATAAGTATTAAAATTTTCTGATATACCTAGTCTGGGGAACACTCGAATACTTATATCCACAGGGTACCATGACATGTCGGTGTTCTCGTTATATTCACTATATCCATCCCCTTCCCTCCAACACAAAAATATATAGCCGTCTTTCCTCTTGCCTCAGTTTTTGGCCTTACAAGCTCACGGTACCCTTACCAGCGGTCTATTTAATCTGTGTTTGACAGGGTTGTCAGCGGTAAGGGTACCGTGAGCTTGTAAGGCCAAAAACTGAGGCAATCTTTCCTCAAGTTTAGCCCCTAGGCTTTGCTAAAAAATCAAAAATTATGTCCAGATTTGTGCAAAATGTAAAACTGGCATTTTATGGACAACGACAAATTCCCCGCCCCCATTTAACTATACAGCTCTAAAGCTACATGTAAAATTGAAACAAGAATCAGTTTACGTACCAGACATAAAAACAAGGTATCAGCTGCACATGNATTGATGCTGGGCTGGAAAATAGCTGGTGGCGGATTTTAAAAAATGCTTTTAGTGCTTTGACTTTCAGTACTTCCATCGCTTTATTGAATTTTCCTGAAGGTGTGAATACCAAACCCAAGTAGCAATATTCTGAGCATATTTCTATTTTTTCGGCTCCTAGAGAGAAGGTGAGGTTATTCAGTAAGCGGCCAGGTTTGTTAAAAATCATAATTTTTGTTTTTTGAACATTTACTATCAGCTTCCAGGTTTTACAGTATTCAGCCAAACTATTGAGGGCAGCCTGAAGTCCATCCGGGCTCTCTGATACTAGTACGAGGTCATCCGCGTACATTAAACAACTAAGAGGTTTATCCTTAAGGTGAACAGGGTTGTATTTTTCATTGTTGTTGAACAGGTCGGGAATGTCCCTAATAAAAATGTTAAACAGTAAGGGACTGAGGACGCAGCCCTGTTTGACACCTACACTTGTATTGATGACGTTTGTCAGTCCCCCTGGTGTTTTTACAGTAAACTGGACAGATTTATACATATTACTTATTATATTTAGAAAGAGATTTCCTACCCCTGCCAGCTGTAGTTTATATAATAAGGCATTTCTCCATACTGTATCGTAGGCGCTTGAAAAATCTACGAAACATACATATAGTTTATTTTTATCCATTTTATTTAGGTATTTATCGATGAGAGATTTGAGTACTAGCATATGGTCGACTGTACGTGCCCCTCTTTTAAAGCCGATTTGATTAGTAGGGATCGTGCTATTTTTAAAAGTAAATGATGTGAGTCTATTATTAAGTATTTTGCAAAATAGTTTACATAAGTTACTGGATACAGCTATCCCTCTATAATTTTTGGGGTCTTTTTTATCCCCTTTCTTGTGAATAACATTAAGCATACTCACTCTCCAGAGGGAGGGGAAGTTACCGCTGGAGAAGATAGCGTTGAACAGTTTAGTGATGGCTGGGGCAAGTGAGTCTATGCCCTCTCTAAGCATTTCATTTGGGATACCATCGATACCAGGGGACTTATTCTTTTTAAGACTACGAGCAGCTAATTTTACTTCATGTTCAGTTATGGTAAAGTCAAGTTCTGTGAACAAGTTATGCTTAGGGTTCTGTGCTCTCTGGTTAACCAGAGTTTCAAAATTTATATTGTTGTGGGGCAGTGTCCTATTCATCAGGGTGTGGAAATGGACCCACCATTCGGTGGGGGAAACTGGGGTTTCTGTTGATTTAACTTTATCTTGTAGTTGGTTATATAAATCCCAAAATGCACGAGGGTTGGTTGTTTGCAGATTTTCTAGTGACCGAAAAATGCTGTCCCTAAACATGTTCCGCTTTCTGTTTAGCAGTTTCTTGTACAATTTTTTCTTTTTGTTAATTTCTATTAGAAGATTTTCTTTACAGGGGTTATGTTTTACTGAACGTGCCTTCCTTTTAATGTCTCGAAATAGTTCCCTACAATCATTATCGTACCAGTGCTTACTTTTCTTTTTACCTCTTTTCTTTTTACTGGGGATTTTCTTATGTAGACCTGCTTCCCTACCTAGTTCATCTAGGGTTTTATTAAAATCAGACAGTCTCAGGTCAACCCCTTCCATTGACGGATCATAGTGTTTATCTATAAAGGCTTTGAGAGTACCTGTTGACTCTTTTTGGGCCAGGTGGGTTTTCCAGCGCTCTGATGCCTTATTTGCCCAGTGGAATCTGGCTGGGGGGCATGTAAGGTCATCGGTATCGGCCAAGACATCCGGGTAAGAACACACCTGTGTGTTTAGGGTGCATGAGATCAGACAATGGATGGAGAAGGGAGTAAGCTCATGAACTTGGAAGTACTCTATCTGATCTAGTATAGAAATCTGACATACCATGTAGTCTATTACACTAGGAAAGCCTCTGTAGCTGTAGCACGTACAATAGCCAGCAGTGTCACCAAGTTTCCTACCATTAACTAATCTGATACCTGTACTCCTACAGAGATCGAGTAATTTCTTACCATAAAAATCTACCTCATGGGAATCCATGCTATTTCTAGGTAAATCAGTATCTCCTACATACCCCTCACCAACATCTATGTAATCATTACTATCATTCACAATATAATCAGGAGAGGTGTTCGTTTTTGCATTGAAGTCTCCTACTAGCAGACAGTCCCCAATTTCCTGATATTTAGCTAAATCTTGTTCTAGTAATTGGAAGATATCATCTCGCTGATGACTGAAACTACTTCCTACTGGGCTAATGTAAACACAACATATGAATAGATCTTTACTCAACCCAAAGAACTTTTTACACAGTTTGAGCCACCTGAATTCACTGTTGGTTTCCTTAAGGAAAATAACCCCTTTTAGTAATTCTTGTTTTACTCCAATGGCAATCCCCCCTGAAGCTTTAGGTGATTTGGGGGATCTGGGACGCACTGTTGTTTCTATGTGGAACCCATTTACTGTGAGAGTGTCAGATTTTTCACAGTGTGTTTCAACTAGACAAAAAATATCAAGGTTGGAGAGGGCCTGTTGGAATTCGGGTAGCTCAAACTTAACAGTTCTTTCATTAGCAATCCTTTTAAATAAACCATCGACATTCCAAGCACCAATTTTTATCTGCCTGGTAAAGAAGGACACCATCGCTGACAATACAGAGCAGAATATTAGAGGGAGAGGGATGGGGATTAGAGCTACACGTATATAGGGTTTACTTATTTAAACAGCAAGTTTTGGCACTATGGTCACTTTACTAACATGCTTATCCTTTATCTAGAGAGGAGCTAAAGGTGACAAAGAGATACTTGACAGACAGCCATAATTAACCTGCATGGTATAAATAGAGGTGGACTATATGATAAACCTCTTACATATTATAAAATTAAAATAATCTACTAAGATTCTAAATTGCACTAGCCATAGTTAACATTTGCTTAGCACCTTAGTAAATACAGTCAGTTAAAAAAAAAAAAAAAAAAAAAAAAAAAAAAAAAAATAGTTAATTCGTAGTGTCACTTAAAGGTCTCACTTAAAGGTCTCCATGTTCAGAGATCTCCTAGAATTGGGAATGTGTAATAATCGCTCAACCTTATGGCGTAGGTTGGATGCAAGGAGTTTTGTACCTTGTTCAGAAAGGTGGTATTTGTCCTTGGCTAAAAGGTGGTTCTGTATTTCACCTTTCCGCATGAAGTTAATGTTATCACAGTAGTGTACGCTTGGATTGTTTGCGGCGCGAATTCTGGATTTGAGCAGAGCATTGACAATGTCAGTATTTTCATTGAGCTGAATGCTATCTTGCCTTGGTAAACCCAGGGAGATGATTACTTTGGTCTGGGGGTTGGCCTTAGTATAGTCATCTGCCATAGCATGGATTCTTTCCGCGCAACGAAGTGGTGATTCTTTATCAACATCATTGGTAATTTCATGTATGATGATGCAGTCCGAGTCCTTTGTGTTAAAGAGAACGTCTGCTGCCTCTGGTGCTGTATAGGCAGCCACCTTTTCTACTGTTGCACTGGGTACTAGTCTCTGTGGTATGATGTTTCTTATGTGAGAGTTGCCTATGACAGTAACCTTAGGTCTGCCCTTGGTCTTCACCTTGGTTTGTTGTTTGCTGGTTGTGGGAGGTTTGAATTGCTGGAGAGCTGCAGCTTTATCTGGGCCCTTTGGCACGTTGGAGTGTGCCTGGTTGGGTGGGGTGTTGAAATCAGGGGCTTGCAGAATCTCAGAGTACAGCCTGGGGGATGGAGAGTTAGGGTTTGCTGTTGCATTAGGCATAGGACTGTTGACTAGGTGTGTTGTATTTTCCTTGGGTTTTGACCTGGCCTGGGGTGGCTGGGGGGCCCTAGGTGTGTTAGATGTACCTATGAAGGGAGCTTGAACACTGTCAGTTAATCCTCTGACTGGGATTTCTGCTGTGGGGGGCACGGTTTGTAGTAGGATGTCGGTCTGCACACAGGCTGGCTTATTGTTGGTAGTGCATTGTACTCCTACATTTGCTGTTTTCCGAGGGCTTTCCAGTAGGAGCTCGAATCTGGTTCTTTTCATTTCATAGATTTCTTCTTTAGCTAAAGATAAGGCATTTTGAAGTGAGTCAACTTTGTCCCTCAGTGTTCCTATTTCTTTATCCTTTCCAAGAATTATTGAATCCTTTTTTTCAATCACACTCAACTTAGTCAAGTAGTCTTGAAGCTTTTTACTGATCTCACCTTTCTCTGCCTTCCATTTGTTGTTCCTTTCTTTGGCTGTTTGTTCTAAGTCTGTGCGAAGGCGGTGTAATTGGTGCTGTGTAGTTTCATCTTTCTTGGAGCTTTCTAGGTTCTTTTTAGAATTTTCGAGGGCTGTTCGTGTTTGAGACAATTCTTTGTTCATTTTCTCAATCTTCGATGCAAGCTCGTCTCTTTCCCTGGTGGTGTTTTCAAGGTCCTTTTGGAGCAGTCTTAGTTTAAGATCAAAGTTTTCTTTCATAGTGCTGTGAAATTTGGTGATAACATTGTTTTCAAAGTCACGTAGGGCCGACATACAAATATCTTTGGTTGAGTTAGGCCCTTCATCTTTTCGTTGAGGTGATGTCTGGGACCCTGAGGTGGTCATATCAGACATGGTTTGGGAGCACTGGTGGGTGGAATGTATAGTTACAGTCTGTGTTGCAATGTGCACATAATTAGGCATATTGCTGTCATTTGTTGGCTGTGGATGTTGACTGGTGCTGGATGACTTCAATGTTTGTGTGGCCATGTTGATATTGTTACATATATCCTGTTCGATTACATTTGACCTTCCACTGAGGGCTTTTACAATTTCAGTGTCAACTTTTACACAACAGATACAAGTGAATTTCCTTGTTGATTGAGTAAGAATAGATAATTGGTATGCTGGCAGTTCAGTGCACTGATAGTGAATCCACAACTTACAGTCATTACATTGAATCATGTGTTCATCTTCTTCCCTATTACAGAGAGAGCAAGGGTTAGGTATTTCGTCGTTAGCACCACTGGTATGGTCTGTTTCTCCTTCATCTAACCAGGAGTGTACCTGATCCGGTCTGCTTAGTGTGACCAGGTCATTGTAGTTCTGATCTAGGGGATCAGGGTTCCTCTCAAGCCCTGATAGAGTACATAAATTAGGACTGTATTCATGAAGGCTAACGTTGGTATCTTCATCCACAAACACTCGACCGTTGGTAATCCCGTAGGAGTCCAGAAATAGTGCTGCATCCTGTAGTGAGTTGAAACTTTTGTGGCAGGCCCCAGTGAATTTGTTTGTACTTTGTTGCGCCATTGACCACTGCAGGAAGATTCCTATGTTTCGACCGGCCGCTACAGCATAGAACTTTTTATTTTCCGACGGCATTATAGACAACGAAGGTCGGCCAGTGTTAGAACAAAAACCAAGATGGCGTATAGTGTCCGAAAGCACTTGTGATAGACGGGTAGCAAACACGTCAAATATTACCTTCTCACGTGGCGTAAACACATAAATTTTTGTACTCACATAGTCCGGAGGGTCTAATATACCATATTATTGCTTTGTTTCCCCATCCACTCTCCTTAAAATGGAATTAGAAGTACATTTCTAGAGAGCGTTTAAATTTTCCTCCTTACTGCTCGCGCATGCGCATCCCAACCTGACCTTGACCCATATATAGGTCACATGCAGGCCATTGTGTTGTGTAAGCACATCTAACGCAATGACGGGTGAAACGTCCCATGTTGCTATTTTTTCAATGAAGCGGTTTCACTTATGGTTTGAAATCCCGATAGAAATTAAAGATAATTATGTTGGGCTTATTCATTGTGACAGTGTCACCAAATATGGTATATTGTTTGCAAAATTGCAGCTACAAAAGTCCACTTCTTGGATTTGTTGTTTTAAAAATAGGACTAGATTGCTGAAAACAATTTAGAATCAGATAGTTACTATTAGTTCCTCAATATATTTACTCCTTTCTGTGATCTAAGCAGGAAAGTGTGTCAATTTTTTGGTTTATTTACATTAAGTATAATTCATATTCACCATATGCAGCATCAGTTTTTATATTTCTCTTCATAAAATTGCCCCAGAACATGTATATTTCAGAAGAAAAAAAAAGAGCATATTTTAAAAGCATACCACTCCGATTGTGATATAGCTGGTAAGAAGACAGTTGTAACTTTGTGTCTGTTTTTATTTGTAAGAATAATCTATCAGTCATTAGAAAGAGTGAAAGTTATGCTCACTGATACTGTACAATCTTGTTTTGAGTTATAAGTCATGATAAATCTTACAAATTTAATAGGCTATTATAGGTCCAAGGTCTGTCAAATTGCTGTGAGGTTTTGTATCACTGTAGATGATCAGATTTGTTTATTGTCACTTTTACTATAGTTCACCTCCCATACTGGGTCTGTGCTATAACATGTATAGCTATGCTGTATATGTAATGAACCCGTCACATGTATAACAAACTGTAGCGCTGTTGAAGATAATGTCCCGTAGCACAAAATCTTTCCAGTGTCATCCACTGTAACCGTCTCAAGTTAACACATACATTTATTTACATGTAGTCAGTACATGTCACTTCCCGGATGTCCACTAGCTGCGGCCATGACATGTCACGTTTCTGTTATTGATCTGCTCATGTCTTGTAGCCAGGACACTTCTGTGCTTGACAATGTTTGTCACAATGCTGTTGATGTTCTGTCTCACTGTCTGTGTCATTGCTGCAACAGTACTGTTATTGTTACTGTATTGTACACCTGTCCATCATCAGTACTTGTCTTGTTATCAAGTCCTGATTTACAGTCAGTCTGTAACTAGAAATACAGCAAGAAAGAAGGGGAAAATGCATCAATCTAGATGAACTACAGTCAATTCACTGTTTTCAAAAATTAGCAAAACCAGTCACATCCTCCCCTCAGCCATTTATCATATGTACAGGATCATGCCTCTCATTTCACTTTTTTTGTACATAAAACCCCTAAAAACTACTCGCCCATCTTGAAATCCAAATGATTTTAGGTTGTAAGAAACAGCAGCAAAAAAGGACTTTGTGGCTTTATGCCTAGGGCTGCTTAAGGCAGAAAACTGCCAAAGAAAAGAATTTCAACTAGACCAAAAAAAACATATATGCCTGCAAAATAAAAGGACAAAGAAGGCTGACACTTGCTCTGTACTGGGAAAAGGGGAGGGCGGGGGATAATGCTTCATCCAAAAAAAATTTAAAAGAAAAAAGTCTTTGCACACTTTTCCCCCCTTACCAAAAAATTACGTGAAAACCAGTGCAGTTTTAACTCACCACAGCTGCTCTAGGTTCGAGGTCTCTTGGATGAAGGAGCACCCTCTTCAGGCTGGGGTTCTGCCTCCATGACTTTGAGAAGCATGCCACAGACCTCCTGCTTGTGGAGGACACGCATGGCTTCATTGGCACTTTCCTCACTCCCATACTTTGCAAATCCACAAGTACGTCCTGAATAACATCATTTATTATTAACAAAAAAAAAAGAGCCCCAAATATTGTCCAATTTGAAAATTTCTTCATTTTGCAGACATGTTGAAACAAACAAGACTGAAGTATTCTGAAAACTTTGTAGACTGACATCTTTATGAAAAAAGAAACAAGAAAAGAAGAAAAACAACAACATAAACAGAAGATTTCCTCTACCTATATCTTTATCCAAAATAAATTTTAATAGAGGAGCAAAAATTTAGAGCCTCCACAACAAACCAAATGAAAAAATCTGCCTCACCCCTCATCATGTAAGCATCAATCAAGTTCCCAAACCGAGAGAACAAGTCGGTGATGATGAAGTCCGGCAGTGGATCCGGCTGACTGACAATGAACAGTCTTTTGGCCACTGGAGTGGACTCCAAGATCAGGGGCTGTTTGGCGGGGAGTTTGGCACTGCAGTAGGAACCATCCTCATCAACCTTGGGCTGCAGCTGTTCAAACAGATTGGGTGGAACCACCATCCCTGCTTGCCTCAACAGGTTGGTGGCCTGTAGGGGGAGACAGGTCAAAGGTTACTCAATACAAGCCCAATGTAGGGTTTTTATCTTTTAAAGATGCATGTTATGTAATAACTTATGTCAAATCATTGTCAGTGAACCAAATTAAATGTTTGAGTATGACTTAAAGTAAGACCAAAGATTTTTTCATTATATTATTTCCCTTTTGCAATTAAATTTTCTTCCTTTCTGTGCCTTCTGGACTAGAGGTTGGGGGAAAATTTTCCTTTCCTTTCCAAAAATAAATCAATTAATAAAGAAATTGATCCATGCAAGGTTGTGGTGGTGGGGGTGGGGGGTGGGGGGGGGATTCTCACGACCTGAGGGGAACAAGTTACCTGCATCACAGAGCTAATCATCCCAGCGTGATCCATCTTTTTATTACTGCCAGCAGGGGTCACTCCTGTAGGGCTCACACTGGCCAGAGCACTGGAATAATAATAATAATAACATTTATTATTAATAATAATAATGTTAATATTCATGTCAAAACTTAAAAGGCAACTCCACAGATTTTCCTGCATATATGTATTTCCTGGGGAAATAAGTAATTTTCTTGTACTCATGAATCATATTTATCTATACCTTTCTGCACTGGGAATCAAATGTAAAAGTTTATTTAGTTTAAAATGACTGGCCAGTCAATGCAACCAGTAACCATTTTCCTAAAAGGTTCTTATGTAAATATCAACACCAGGTATGCTCCAGAAAAATTATTTTAAGGGGATTATGCAGCAAGCTTTCAAGTGAGTCGGCCATGTTTGATCCAAGTATCTGTTAGTCTTCTAATCAACTTGCTCTGAATGCACTCTCACCCTGTAGATTCACTGGGCTGACCATCAGTCATCCTCACGGTTAGCGGGCAGCCTGGGGGGTACTCCAGGTTACTCAGGTGGTCCAGAGCCCACGCCGCACATTGAGGGGAGGCGTATTTTACGTAGGCAGTCCCTGGAAAATTTTGAAAATCATTGCCCAAACCTTAACATAAATAGGATGTTAATGGGATCAATAAATATTTCTTTATGCCAGGTTAATACTATTAAGAAGAACTTATATTCAGCGACCATATTCTAGGAAAAAAGAGTGTCACCTGGGAAAAGAGAATAATGGCATAAATTCACCACTGACTTATTAAAAGTCCAAACATTTTGCTAAATTTTAAACAGATTAACAATGAAATTGTAAAGCTCTATTATGCAAAAGTAAAAAAAGTAAAATAATACTAATAATGATAATAAAGCTGATAAGTATAAAATACAGCCTGTCAGTGACTTTAAACATTTCAAAACTATAACACATAAAACAATCTTTAATTCATGTATTACCTGTTCCCTGGTTAAAATCGCAGTATTCTAACTGCGGCACCATGTTACATAGAGCGTGCATCTGTTGCGCCGTGACCTGCATTGAGGCAATAATCTGGAGTCTAACGCCACCTGCTGGGCTGTAGCTGCTCTGGATACTTTCTAATGGACCTAAAGTATGAATATTTATCTGCACTAACAACAGTGTAAGCATAGGCACAAATTTGATAGACATAAAGTCAGATATTTTATTTTCTACAAAACCTTGCATACTCCAGTGGTTTAGCGTTATTTAACCCAAAGCTGAGCAATCTGTTGCATTGGTCACTGAATCACCAAGAGACGTAGAAATAAGTGTGTGAAAGTTTTGTTTAAAAAATTCAAATTTACCATCTATAGTGAGAAAAATCAACGGACGACAGCTTTGGGAAAACAGTCTGTGCTTTGGTTACATATGAAGTTATTGACAGCTATCACAGTAAAAACTTGAAAATTTTATCAAAAGACAATTCTCCACCAACATAACTTTTTTCACTAAGTCTTGAAAAATTCATCAAACTCTTTATGATTTTGAAAAGTTTATCAACAAAAAAAAAATAAATAAGGCCCCGTCAGATTCAGGCATTTAAAAAAATTTCAAGTTTATCATAGTTTCTCACCATAGCTCAGCTATTATTAAACATGATCTCAATCACTGCCAGCTCAGAATTACCTCTGCTTGTCATAGATGGTTCTGGAAATCTCCTTCCACCGTCATAACCATCATCTCTTTGTGCAAATCTACCATCAAAGTCTCTGTCAGGGCCGCCATATCTGGAGTCTCGTCCGATTCCCCCAAAACCACCCCCACCCCCACCCCCGCGGCTCTCCCTCCCCATGTCGCTAAACCCTTCACTGTACAAATCCCTGTCGTAGGATCTGGACCCCCTGCTGTCACGTCTGGCCCGGTCATCTCGACTGGACTTTGGCTCAGCAAAGACTGCTTTAAATCCTACAGAGTACATGAATATATACCTTCATATATATATCTTTATATCACACAGTCTAATATATATAATATAATGTATATTTTTATATTATATATAGAGTACATGTATATCTTTAAATCCTACATAGTACATGTGTATGAGAATTACAGTTCAGAGTAGGATTAAAATATACAATAGTTTCATTAATAATGAGCCCTAAGACTGTGGTAGTACTCACTGGATTCACAGTTTTCCAAGGCCAGTGCACAGTGATAGGCTTTATAGTACTTAACATAGGCCAGACCTTTACTCCGCTGGGTGTCCTGGTGCCTGACAATTCTCACATACTCTATGTCGCCCCATTTCTGCTCAAGATAATAATAACAACAGTTGAGTATTCATATCATAAAATCTTTTACGAAGTATTATTTCTTAACTAACATGACTTCAGTAATTAATTACAATTTTTTACCAGGCTGAGACAGAACATTTTTAATTTTATATTTCTGGCCTCTGGGATATATGGAGCTTCAAATCAATTAATATTAAGACTGCTGATAAATTCACCTAACATGCACAGTATTCTAGAATCAAATTTGAACTTAAACAATTTTTGTAACAAATACAATTCTTTAAGCAGCTTTAAAATTGTATGAAAAGAGTTTTATAACAATTCCCTACACCAAAAATCTCCCTAATATCACTCTCCGTGTACTCAGTGGGCACCATGATGAAGATCCTCAGACCTTTCTCTTCTTCATTTGTCTCCCTTGTAGACCCATGCTCTCGTTTACTGGCTATCATAACCTGAAAAAATACAAAACCATGGTTATGATGAGCTCTACTGGTATATGTCTGTCTGTCTGTCTGTCCCACTGTCTGAGTGCAAGTCTTTTCATTTTATGACCAATAAACTTTCCATTTTACTTTTCGTTTTTGCTAGCTCCAGATCGACAGACTTCATCCTTTATTTCTTTTGTTCTTTTGCTGTCTATCTATTTCTCATTTTTACTTTCTTTACTTTAAAAAACAATCCTGCCAAATATCTCACCTTGAGAGGTTTTGGGTCATCTGGCAGTGTTCTTCCGTTCAGTTCCTCCATGGCCAGAGCTGCCTCTGAGGCCTTGGAAAACTTGATGTATGCTACACCTACCACAAACAACACAACAACATTTGAATTAATTTGTCCTGTAATCTACAGCACTGTATCAAAATGCTCCAACCATGTACTAATACCAAAATCAAAACACATACTCTTTAACGAATAAATGCCCCCAGTAAGTAATAAAAATAAACCATGAATAAATAAGTTAATACAAGCAGATGCCATCATATATGTATATGTATATGTATGGTTGTACTCCATCCCCAATTTTTAAACGTATGACAAGTGCTCATATGAACACTGTTCAGAGATTGGTGTGTGTGTGTGTGTGTGTGTGCGTGCATGTGTGCACGCGCGCGCACGTGTGTGCGTGTGTGGAGGAGGAGGGGGCGGGGGGAGTACTCATTATATGTGTACCTGTACCCTGTACGTTTCCTTAATTGTCGATCTGTAGACCAGTCCAGATCAATTAACTAAACCGTCAAATAATATTTGAAGTCAATTTCATCTCAAAGCCAACTGCATCATTACCTCAGTGTAGTGCTTTATTTTGCCTCTTGCCCAGGGCAAGCAATATACAGAATCACAAATAGGTTTAGTGGTTGAAAAAGCACTGAGTGAGAGAGCCGCTCACCTTTTTCTTTATTACTTTGACGATCTTTCACAACCCAAATGTCTTCAATGGTTCCATATTTTTCGAATGCTTTTCTGAGCATGGGTTCAGTGACGCCTTTTGCACAGAGCACAAATAACCGGCTATTTGCCGGCGTGTCTCGTGCCATTCGATGCATTTCGACCGATTTTGGATCGCCTCTCTGAAAATTCACCCTTTGCGCGTAAAAACGTGTACAGTAGCAATAACGATAAACAGATTTTCGCACTTATTTCATTGCAAAACTCCTTGGTTTTATTGTATTTGCGGTATTTCTTTATTTATGTTTCACCTAAATTGTTGTTTTTTCTAATTTGATAATCTTGATTAAATACTGAAAGATCAACTTTATTGCGTGCAGGTGGTGGAAATATTTTGTCCAATCACCGCTTTAGTAAATATTCACTGCGGGCGTTGTTGTATGTAGCAACAATGGCTGAGTTGGATTTAATTCGAGAATTAAATATATATTCCTCGGAGGAAGATGACCTCAGAAATAATGTCCTCGCTTTGGAAAGCTACAGGGTGGTTGGAGATGAATCTCTCAGGTAAATAGAGTTGAAACATTGCCGTTTACTCGTTCAAATATATTCTGTTAGTGCCCCGAATGATTAAATTTTCTTGAAAAATAGGGGAGGGCAGTCTGCATCGCATAATGATACAACGGCCGAGTGGAAAACGGGTGGAATTTGTCTTGATGAATTTACTAAATAATACATTCTACTAGTACATCAGACATATACGTGTTCAAAATTTCTGACTGGCCTTCCCATTAGCAAATTGTTACATACATGTACATGTACATGTACATGTACAGTACAATATAGCAGCATGTATTACTAATACCTGAACTTGGCTGAAGTTTTGGTACCGATATATTCAACATTAACGTCATGAAATATTCTCCCTGTATGGTTTACTAATAATACTGCTGGTGCAAGAATTAAGCAGATGTGAGAAGACCTCGCACAAGACCAAATATTTAATGTTGTACATAATACATTCCATTTATACTAGTACTGGTACTCATAGTTTATTTGAATTTTGCATTGGTTTTACTCTGCTTTTCCTTTTAGACCTTCTTTGGCCGAGCAAAGAAAAGTTGGGTTCTTCCGTCTGGACAGGCCGACACAAACAGAGGTCACAGAGATAGTTGACCTCCAGGAGATGACAGAAGTTCTGCAAACACTGTTACAGGCAAGTACTGTATATACAGTAAATGTACTGGGAGCTCTCTATGGGATATACATGTACTCACCAATATGAATTTTCTTTGGGGGGGGGGGGAGCCAATATTCTCCTTCTCAAGAATCTTTTCTCATCACAACTGTGCACTTAATTAGATTTGATGTTTTGTTCTGTTTTAAATCAAATGATTTAATTCTTAATGGGCCTTCTCAGAAATGCCCAAGAAGATTTACTGAAGTGTCCTTTTCTTTCAGGATGTGAATATCTTAAAAAGAGAAATCCACACAGCTAGGGGGCTCATGTTAGCTGACTTTGAGTCAAAGTTACAGAAGAAAGCACTGGAACTGTAAGTATGGGCAACAGCCAGGAGACATTTTCATAGCACAGCTCTGAATTCATTTAATGTACTGTTAAACTACACTGTACAGGCCCGTAGCCAGCAATTTCCAAAGGGGGGTTCTTTTTCTGAAAAAGTGGACCTTTTACAATGAAACTTTTGTGTACCTAGATCAAATTTTATCCAAAATGGACCTTTTTCTGACAAAAGGGGCAGTTCTTACGAAACCCCTTAAACTCCCCTGGCTACGGGCCTGTAGTAACTTTAAAGTTTAAAATGTTTGAAAAAAAAAATTGTTGTGAATTGTGAATAATGAAAAAACTTTTTTGGGATTTTCTTTATTTATTGGCTTTTGACTTTTAATTTACTTGTCATTTATACTGGTATATGATTTATTTTTATAATTTTTCTATTCTCAGTTACTGCCGCATCAACAGCAGAGTAGATGAATTAGAAAAGATGCATGCAGATGTAAGTACCGGCCATCATGTTCTGTTCAATATTTGTCTCATTCAGTGGTATGAGTAGCACCACATACCTTAGAGGAAAGTTAGCAACAATTTAGTTAAACAGATAACAACTATTCGTTTTGGAGAAATAAAATGAATTTTCCCAGAGTAAACAACAATTTTCCCATTCTTATCAATGGTTAACGAATCCATATCTACATGCAAAGTAAGTACCTGGTTTTTTTTCTAAAAAGTTTGTTTTTATGTTATAATCTCTTAAGAGATCATTACAGAGTATAGCCATCTGTGGAGGTCACGTGGTCTGATGACAAGCTCAGATATCAGAATAAAAGCTTTAACTGCCATTTTTGTGGTAAAACAGAATATATTATGCTTCTATGAGTTGTTTACATTGTTTTTATTATGAAATATAGATCTCACATGAAGAGAGATAATCCCTTTAACCTATTAGCCACTCATACAATCGGATACAGTCAGCTGCATGGCTGATATTTTTAGTAAACAACCTTGTTATAACACTATCAGTTATCACCTATTGACTTTCTTTAAATTGATTTCTTTTAGATAAACATCAGTTTTAACAAGTTGTTTGCAGTTTTCAATATCAGTAAAACCAAACATGTTTGTTTTCCATTGAAAAAAAATTGCAGGATACACCCTGTGTGTTTTATTTTTTTATCTTTTAATTTTTTTATCTTTGAATTGATAAATCTATTCTCCAGAGAGTTGGTGTCATTAGAAGAGCCTTCAGACAACAGTTATCAGATGCACTTTCCAATGTGGCATCCATATTTGATGTAAGTATTCTTTCTGTCCTCAGTGAATTTTGTAATATTGTGAATCAAGAATCATATCTGTTCAGTATTAAGCAAGTTATTAGTTCTTCATTTCTTCTGAGTTGATCTGTTTGAGAATATGTCGAGACTGATACTACCGGTAGAATTGGATATTAAAGATGACATACATGTAATGATTACACCACAAAACACTGATAGTATGTGACAATTAATCAAAATCTTATTTTCTGCTTTAGGTAAAGTCATTTTTGTACATACATGTATCCCATTGAGACATATTTATTTTCAAAAAAAAAAAATGTAAAGGTTTAAAAGAGACAAAGAAGGAGAAAACAAAAACAAGCCTTAAAGAGTATAAATTTTAAAAACAAAGCTTCATATAAGTACCATTTGTTTTTACATTGCTGTTTCACCTTTTATCACAATATAGAAAAACTATCAGAACAAGATGAACAGTGACCAGAAGAAGAAGAACGCCAAGGCCGACAAGTTGGAGGCAAAGATTAGGGAGCTGCAGGGCGTGATCCAGAGAAATGATATGGTGATAGAGATGCTGAAAACGCAGCTGGCACAGTATTCTAAACAGGCTGCAGAGGTAAGGGGAAAGTATTGGGGATATACTCAATTACAATAGCATGCATTTTCATATACTAGTACTTGTATATTGCCATATACCGTATAGTATGCCAATTACATAGTATGCCATATATTGTATACTTGTACCACATGTGAGTGGTAATTTGGTGTATAAATGCTGTTGGGACCTGTAACTGGTTAAAGAGGGTCGTTTTGTTTGGTCTCTCCCTGATAAAAGTTTCCGATGTGATGTCCTTTAGATAATTGGCCCAAAATCCTATGGGGTCCTGTGCGCTGTCCTGTAGGAAACTGGACCAAAATCCTACAGGGTCCTGTAGGACAATACATGTATGTCCTAGATATGAAAGAATCCTATAGGACATCCAGTAGAATTCTCATGGAGTCCTATATACTAGTACATGTAGAGTCATAGAGGACATCCTGTAGGAAATTTTAGTAAGGACTAGTAGTTCGATCAGAGCTCTGCTGTACACGTACATACTGTAGCACCCTGAGGATATATGTTCTCACAATAAGAAACAATTAAAGCCTTAGGGTGTAAAAACACTAAAAAAAACATGCAACCATTTTGGTCATACATATATTATCAAACAAGGAGACCTCACTGGAGATGCTTTTTATGCTAAATAGGTGTCTTACAAGCAACAGCATGTTAATAATATATGAATTAATTACTGAGTATTGAATGTGGAAAAACATAAGAAGCATATTGTACTGTATATTGCTTAAAGTTGGCTATTTCTGCATTGCTTTCCATTGGAAGTTTTTCGCTTTGATTTAATTGGTTAAAATGAATTAGCATCTGCATGAAAAATTGTATTTAATTTTTTTTCAAAGTGACTATATTTTGTATTATTTAATGTATTTATATATTACTTAATGAAATGAATTTCATGTCAGAATTGCATGATAATAATTCTAATCTGTTTGTTGTGTAATATGTACTTAACATATAACTTTATCGTGAGTAAATGATAACTAATTTCTGTAAAATAACAAGCACTGTTTTGAATCACATGCACAATTTATTGATTATACTGGTGTCATATTTTCCATGCTTCAGACACATTGTGCTTGTAAGGCTGATGACTATGAAATTGCTACTTATATAACACTGGTTTGGAATCACTTGTCTTTTGGGTAGTCAATAATTTGTGGCACAGGTGTTTAACCAATAAGCACACATCTTGAAAATCACATGACTCGTGGTAACCAATCAGTGCTTAGTTAGAGATCACATGTTTTTATGGTAACCAATCAGTGCATGACTTGAAATCACATGACTTTATGGTAACCAATCAGTGCATGGCTTGAAATCACATGACTTTGTGGTAACCAATCAGTGCATGCCTCCATCTTTCCAGTCTATAGATGCCCAGGTGGACAGACTGCTCAGCAGCGTGCCATCCAATAAGGTGTTTGATCAACTTGTTTGATTTTGTTTCTTTAGAAAGCTTTTTGAGCAGAACTTGTTTCTTGATGATGCTTGCTCTAATCTCACTGTCTGTTATTATGCTCGTTGTGCCTTAAGCCTTTTTGCTTTTTCAGTTATTTTTTAGGTGTTATTATGTATTTTGTCAAGTCCTTTTCTTTCCTTTTTGTTGAATTTACAAAAAAAAAAAAAAAAGAAAAATGCCCAAACACCTCCACAAAGAGATAGCGACAGCTGATGTCAAAAATACTTTCCTTTCGTATACTTTTTTGATGCTTATAATTGGCACAGTTGTGGTTTGTATTATGTTCTGGTGTTGCTGTTTAGCTTTGTTTGATTGCTTGCTTTATCTTTGCCTTGCTGTGTTGAATTGCAGTTGTTAAATATGTTTACATTTTATCATATTTCAGAATTTGTATATGAATCAGCTAACTTTTTGAAGTTGGTTACATGTAACTGTAGAAATAACTGGGTTTTTAACTGAGAGTATAAAAGCACAAATCATGCAAGACAATATTCACATTAATTTAGATGGAATCACTAATATGCCTGAAGTCTGTAAAAAAATACACTCACATATTTCTAGTTTATTTAATCCAACTTAATGTGTGCACTAATGGGTATGTTTGAATAAATAACAAAAATGTCAAAATATCTCCACTGTCTTATCTTTGCCAATATTTCAGATATTTTACTAAGCTGTGTTCCAGTTTTTACAATTTTAGACGGTTTCAATTAACTATTTTGCAGGAGGAGGAAGAAAGCAGACCTCCCACAAAGTCCCCGAGTATCAACCCAGAGTTGGACGACCTGAGAGAGAATGTTTTCAACTTGGAAAATAAAGTGTCGGAGCTGGAGAAAGCTCTGGATACCAAGACAGACTTAGCAGCTAATCTAAGTATGAAACTGGGTGCATTCACATCAGTTGTAACCCAGACCTTTACTGATTATAAATGTAGTCAAATTAAAAAATGATAAAGAAAATGGTTCAGAAAAAAAAAACAGTGATGTTAAAAATGAACAGAAGATTATTATTATTATTATTATTATTATTATTATTATTATTATTATTATTATTATTATTATTCAGGTGATGAAGTGGATGGGATCACAAAGAAACTGGAGCAGGAGAAGAGAGTCACCAGACAGGTAAAATACTTACCCTCTACCAGGGCGAGTGATAGATTTTTTTACAGATATTCACAGATATGTCTCTAGCTAGATAGATGGTCATTTAGGGCTGAACTCACCCTGTTGAGGAATCCCATGTGGAAACAGTTATCTCTGCGCGCGCGCCAAAGGCTTTGTACTTGCTCTGCATGAGGTGAGCTTCACAACGATGTGATAACTGCTCATTATGCAACCAGTCTAAGGCTTTTTTATCTGTCACAGAAGAGCTAGTGATTGAAGTCAGAGTAATTAACTGTCTTGATTGCTGTCACACAGATTTAGACTGGACCTGCTAAGTGGCAGTGCCTGAGCAGTTATGCAAACAATTATCAGCCATGTAATCAGCCTTGAGATTCCTCAACAGGGTGAGTTCAGCCCTAAATGACCATCTATCTAGCTAGAGACATATCTGTGAATATCTGTAAAAAATCTTTCACTCGCCCTGTAGAGTGGTAGAGGGTATAAAATACTGATGAATCTCCATACACCATTTCTTTATAGACATATGGATTAATTTGTAGATTGAATGTTTGATGATCAAGCAAGTGATTGGTTGATCAGTTCATCAGTTGGTTAGTTGGTCATTTTATTGAATGGGCATGCACATATATTTTCTCTCAAAGTTCTATTGAAAGTCCTAAATGTAAAGATATTTTGCCAGGTAGAAAACATTTCTTATCTGGCACATGGTTTTCGAAAAATACAGATTTTATGTCATTTTTGCTCTCATTCTCTAGCTTCAAGAGGAATTAGAGAATCTGAGGGAAAACAGTGAACAAGAAATGGCTGAAGCAAGAAGAATGGTGAGTTATATGTGAATCAGAGAGGAATGCACATGTGATGGTAGTATTTACTTGATCTAGTCTGTAAGAAATACAAAATTTAAACCAAATAAAAAGAAAAACAAAAGTATAACTTTTTTTTATCAAATATAAGATTTTTTTTACCTTTAAGGGCATATTATTTATTGGTAATTTTGGATTTTTCCACTTTCTTAAATTAGAGTCTCGCTGAGCAACAAATTCTTGAACTACAGAGACAAGTATGATGAAATTCTTCTATGCATGATCATTTACTGGTACCTATATATTCACACATGCATTTTGTAAACTTACCATGCCCAATATAATGTTTTATCCCTGGCAATTTCTGGATTACATTAATTAACTAATTTATTTATATGTTGACTTTTTTGGGCTGGAGGATTGGGGGGGGGGGGCTTTCTTTAGGTGTTAAACCTTTGCTTGCATGTGACAAATTTAGGGATGCGCCCTTTCCCCCATCTTCTGTCAATCTTATGATACAATGTCATGTATTATCTTACAAATCCTTACACAAATTGAATGCATATGACACCCCAGGGGCTTTTTGAAACTAATTCAGCCTTTAAAGTAAAATACGATAATATTTAGCATGCTGACAATCCCTTTATACCATTATGCATGCAGCTCTATTAAATGACAATATATCCAAAAAAAGATAAATGGCTAATGTAGTGCTAATTTTGATATTTGTAATATTTTGATCAGAAAATAATGATGGTTATATTTTTCATCTTACAAAGAATGGTGACGTAAGTGACAGTAGATATTTTGGTTTAGGGGAGCAAGCTGGTTTTGCCTTCCACTGGAAAACTTGATGCAGATCACTTTTTATTCATTTTAAAATTTATTGGAATTTAAAAATGATATTCTGTTAAAATATTATATTATTTATGTAACTGTAATCAAAAAATACTTAAAGAAATAATAAATGTTAATTGGCATACTGTTGAATAAGTCTAAAATATTTTATTGTCCAAGAGCAAAGATGAACTGTTGTACTAAGACTTTCAAATTAAGTTTTTTTGTGCCTATATACCAGTAAAAAGTGTTCTGCAGGTTCTCGTCATCCTATACACCTTACCCCTTTCTTTGGCTTTCCCTTTGGTACACTCATACCTTTTCCATATGTTCATACTGATAAATTTTTTTTGTAATTTCAAGTATTCATTTATTTATTTATTTATTTATTTTAATGATGTATCTTGAATTCAGGTTAAAAATGAATGATGAACTGTACATCTTGTAGCTTATCCTAATGTCTTGATAAAATGTCTAATTGCTTAACACATAGCCAGCACCAGGTAATGGCCATAGTATATTGAAGTGTAGATATGCACAATGGCACTCTAGTCCTGCTACACAAAAGTCTTAAGTTTCAGAGCACACTCATTCTCAGTGAAACTATATTCTTCCTAACTTCAGGGGTAGGTATGTTCATCTGTTAATCTGATTGTATAATGAGATTCCCTGCAGAATTGGATCAATCTATGTACTAGCAGACCAATAGTTTCTTTGGGAATGAGCCCATAGAGGGCATTCCCAGAGATTTAGATCGATCTTACTAGATCAACCTAACTCCCTGGGGGTTCACGCTAAATTGCAGTCAGCCGACCACATATGGAAGTTAATTACCCCCTTACAGCTTGTAGTAGGTGGGATGGACATTTAAGCTGGATTATCTGACAGTAATCTAGTGAGACTCTCTATGGGGATAGATCGATCTAAACTTTATGGGAATGCACCCTTAGACCGCTAAAGTGGGATAGCCGACTAAAGTCATTTCATTGCTGTTAGGCAAATTACTTGGCTTAGATTCATAGCAGTCTTGACTAAGATGTTTGACTTAAGTCATTATGTGGCTGTGTCAATTCCCCTGCATATGAAGCAGCGATGTTGACTGTACATGTGTTTATCCTCCCTGACTGCTAACTTGAACACCCTGAGTTTCAAACATTACTGGAAACTTACCTCAGTCTAAAGTTACTGGATACTTATATCTCTAGTTTATCAATAGAAATCGCAGTCAGGCTGATGACAGAAATGAGTTTCCTGTAATCTCTAGATCTCGGGGCGTCTGGCACTGCCTGTTATCAGCACACATAAGAATGCAATTCAGAACAAGTTTATCCGCGGACTAACAGATCCACATTTTAAATATGGCCAATCCACTTAAAGGTGATGCCGCTAATCCTCTGATGGTCTTCCTGCCTCCACAGGTGCCCTAGCTGCAGGGGTATAGTAATTAAAACCCAGAGCCGAGATTGAATTCATATAACAGCACGTGTGGAGGCGGGAGACCATCAGGGAATTAGCAGTATCAATTTTTTGTGGGGTCAGCCACATTTAGTTGGTCTATCAGTTAGTCCATGGATCATCAGTTCTGAATTAATGCACCCATACAGTACTTGCTACAAGCACCATGCACTGCCAAGTTGTACACAACCAGTAGCTGATCCAGAACACACACACACACCCTCCCCCTCTGCTTCCTTTTCAAGAAGCAGAGCCAATATCTGTAGTAACAAAAGTTATAGCAGACACTGAACACCTCAGATCCATCTTTTTAAATCAATGGGAGTTGGGAATTAGATGCTGGAGAGAAGTTACTCTGTTAGATTCAGGGCGGGGCCCAGGCACTACTGGTCTCTATATATTATGTGCCATGCAATGCTTATTCAATTAAGTCACACTATGTACATTTATTGTCAGCACTGTACAATTATTATCAGCACGTACTGCATATATTTGTATTGCTTGGCATCTCCTTTTGATAATTATAAGCAGCTGAAGTTGTCATATATCATGATAGAAAAAATGTGCATGAAAATGGTTAAGGGTCATAGTTGTCCTTAAATGAATTAATTTAGACCCCATTTCCAGAGATTAGATCGATCTACTTTAGATCGACCTAACTCCCTGGGGGTTCACGCTAAATAGCTGTCAGCCAAGCGGACACGAAAGTTAATTACCCCCTTACAGCTTGTAGTAGGCAGGACGGACATTTAAGCCGGATTATCTGACAGTAATCTAGTGAGACTCCCCGCGGAGATAGATCGATCTAAAAGCTCTGGGAATACAGCCTAAGATTTCTCCCAATAACTGGATACAAGTACGTGTGTATGTGTACCTCGTCCTACAATATACAAACATGTATATAATAAATTGAGTCACTGTCACAGACCGTGCATGTAAAATAACTTGAAAACAATATTAATTGTGCTCCATGTAAACTTTGATATTATATTCTGCATCATACACTATCTGTTAGTACTGCCTTTGTCTTTCTTGTATTATGCATGTGCTTGGATATCAGCATGTGCTTATATTGAGTGGTTTTGTTATTCAGGGTACATGTATTTGTTGATTACAGACTGTAATAGAATTACCATGGAATAAAGTTTACTGCATGAGCTAAATATTTTACTTTGATTTAAGAAGTATTTTTATTCATTTCAACCAAAATGAAACATTAAATTTTCACTTTTTGTAACATATTATGTTATTTATATTATATAAGTTAAAGTATGCAATAATTATTTTTATGTATACATTATGATCAAATACTAATGTAAGTTTTTTTTTTTTTTTTTCTTCTAAGATTGAGCAGCAGAGAATAGAAATGGAACAAGAAATGAATGAGAAGACAAAACAAGCCAGAGATGAGGTATCCAGTGATTCTGGCCCTCTTCATTTTTTCCCTATCATTTGTCTATTAATCATTATTATTTGATTAAATTTTGCTGAATAATGGGTAAATAATGGCAAGATTTCTCCACCCTCTCCTCTCGCTCTCTCTCTCTCTCTCACACACACACACACACACACACACACACACACATGCACACACGTGCAGTCACACACATGCACACACGTGCAGTCACACACATGCACACACACCAAATATTTTACACTTAAGACTACTTTGAGTCTTACTGAATGCAAAAAAAAAAAAAAAAAAAAAGATCACTAACTCACAGAACGTCTTCATTTGTGCATCCCCAGGCACTTTAATACAATATATTATAATAATAATTATATCCTACTATCTGTATCTCTCTGTCTTCAGGTACTCTCCATGGCGAGGTCAGAGGCAGCAGCAATGGCAGATTCAGAAGGAAAGAAAGTCATGAAACTGATGGAAGAGAAGAAAAAGTTGGAGGAACAGTTAGCAAAGGTGTGTTGTTTTTTAACATTATATGCAAATGATTCAGATTTTTATTATTGTTTTGATCAAATAACGTTTAAATGAACAATTTTAATTTTAGTTAAATTAAGTCTTGAATCTTATCAAGGTCCTGATCAAAGGTGGAAACATTTTTACTCATATGAAAATTTGACAAAAATAACTTGATCTGCCCGATGGTAACCTTATAAAATTTTGGAATTAAGTCACCATGGATTTGCCCTATATACCAGTAAATTGATTGAATACCAAAATGTGAAAAAAAATTCACACATATATTTTTCAATTAATTTTGTGCCATGCAGGAGCGCGCCCTGGTGGCAGAGCTTTCCAAGAAGAAGGCAGAGCCTGTGGTGGAGAAGAAGGAAGAGAAAGTGATCACAGACGTAGATAAGATCATCCTCAGTGAACAGAAATGGAGAGTTATGGTGGCTAAGTGAGTGACGACATCTTCAGAACGTCATGGTTCATGGTTTGATGGAGGGTTTTTATACATTCTCAAACCCATAAACTATGTGTCTTATTTTCATCACAATTTATATATTCTTCTTACCCTACAGTTTGTTATTTTTAACTATTTTTTAAAAATATTATTTATAATTTTTTATTTTCTTATAACTTGGTGCACCCAGGCAAATGTCTGTTGCCATGATAACAGACATGTTTTTGAGGCTTATAATGAATTTTTTTTAAACTATACAAAAGAATTTTTTGACACTTCTCAGCATTACTGAGTTTGCTGCTCAATTTCCCTAAAATTGGCCAATGACCAGTTTCTTCTATCTACCCCAGTTGTATTTTATGGGTGAGGGTATTGCCATTTCTTTTTCTCATAGCTAAGACAAATTTCTTGAAATTTCAGGATGAAGAAAGAGCTTGAGAAGACACACAAAATGTGGGAGAAGAAATTTGCCATCTTGCAGCACAGTTTACACGCTCTGAAGGATGAGAGCTTCTTGAGGCAGACACTACAGAAACAGGCTGCCACACTACACCATGCTGCAGTTAGTTATGCTGTGAGTATTAGGGAGCATTCACAACCAGTTGATCCCCAGATTAGTTACGCTGTGAGTATTAGGGAGCATTCACAACCAGTTGATCCCCAGATTAGTTACACTGTGAGTATTAGGGAGCATTCACAACCAGTTGATCCTCAGACTAACTGGTCCTCAGATCAAATATGGCACAATCCACTTGAAAGCATTCTGAGATTTAACTGCTCTGACTCTGCTGGGACGGTGCACGTTGGAGGCAGGAAATCCATTACATTATCATAAAGGGAAAAATGTGGCTTGCTTACAAGCTTCCATATTTGATGTGTGAACAGCTACCTTTACATTCTCTCTCTTCCAGAACATGTGGTTTCTTATAAGATGATGTGAAGGTCATAGAAATTGAAGGACAAAATTCCTCAGAATCATAATCAACAAACAATTATCTCTTCTCATTATGCTGCTCGTTGTTGTAAGCTCTCTCGCTCTCTCTCTCTCTCTCTCTCTCAGACTATTGTCAATCCTTATATGTGTAGTTTTCTCTCTCCCCAGACAATTTTTATATGATGATAACAGTTAACATAAAGATCTTCACTTTTTATCACATCCAGACTGACACACCATTGGCTATCCTCCCCACCAGACCACCCAACTCTCCCACCAAAAAACCTCTGGTAAGATATTTCAGATTTTGAAAAATGATAATAATAAATAACTAGATAGATGAATAAATGAATAAAGATCCATTCATTTATAAATCATTTTATTGATTTGTTTTTCTTCATTTATTTACATTATTGATATGATATTATTAACATGGTTATTGTTTTTTTTTTAACTGAAAAGTAGGAGGCATGAGCATTTTGTAATAATCTTTTTTTCGTTTACTGTTATTGTCTATGAAAATTAAGCATTGCAAAAAAATTAGAACATAATACTTTTTTTTTTCTATCAATATCACTTTTTGGATTTTTTTCAGCCTGAAATTCCTAGTCGTGCCAAATCACCAGCCAATGGTCTGATTGATGATGGTAAGCCCCACTGAAACATAACATGTTAATTAAGTTTTCTTTACTGAGGCCAAAGTGCACATAAGACACAACCTTATATGTCCAGATTTAAGAGCAATTTTTTTTTCAAACAATTCACAACCAATTAATAATACATAAATTTATTAGAATTGTAATATGCTGTTAAAAACAATAATTAAAATACATCAGTTTCAAGTGGCGTTTGCAAAATGGGCATTGTTTCTGAAAAATAACAATATTTTGGAATTTTAATAACAGTTAAAACTGTTTATTTTCCAGAGAACCAAGTGATGTCAGACGATGATCAAGGTTTGCCTCCAGGNTAGGGAGCATTCACAACCAGTTGATCCCCAGATTACTTACGCTGTGAGTATTAGGGAGCATTCACAACCAGTTGATCCCCAGATTAGTTATGCTGTGAGTATTAGGGAGCATTCACAACCAGTTGATCCTCAGACTAACTGGTCCTCAGATCAAATATGGCACAATCCACTTGAAAGCATTCTGAGATTTAACTGCTCTGACTCTGCTGGGACGGTGCACGTTGGAGGCGGGAAATCCATTACATTATCATAAAGGGAAAAATGTGGCTTGCTTACAAGCTTCCATATTTGATGTGTGAACAGCTACCTTTACATTCTCTCTCTTCCAGAACATGTGGTTTCTTATAAGATGATGTGAAGGTCATAGAAATTGAAGGACAAAATTCCTCAGAATCATAATCAACAAACAATTATCTCTTCTCATTATGCTGCTCGTTGTTGTAAGCTCTCTCGCTCTCTCTCTCTCTCTCAGACTATTGTCAATCCTTATATGTGTAGTTTTCTCTGTCCCCAGACAATTTTTATATGATGATAACAGTTAACATAAAGATCTTCACTTTTTATCATTTCCAGACTGACACACCATTGGCTATCCTCCCCACCAGACCACCCAACTCTCCCACCAAAAAACCTCTGGTAAGATATTTCAGATTTTGAAAAATGATAATGATGAATAAATGAATAAATGAATAAAGATCCATTCATTTATAAATCATTTTATTGATTTGTTTTTCTTCATTTATTTACATTATTGATATGATATTATTAACATGGTTATTATTTTTTTAACTGAAAAGTAGAAGGCATGAGTGTTTTGTAATGTTCTTTTTTTCGTTTACTGTTATTGTCTCTGAAAATTAAGCATTGTAAAAAAATTAGAACATAATACATTTTTTTTTCTATCAATATCACTTTTTGGATTTTTTTCAGCCTGAAATTCCTAGTCGTGCCAAATCACCAGCCAATGGTCTGATTGATGATGGTAGGCCACACTGAAACATAACATGTTAATTAAGTTTTCTTTACTGAGGCCAAAGTGCACATAAGACACAACCTTAAATGTCCAGATTTAAGAGCAATTTTCTTTTTCAGACAATTCACAACTAATCAATAATACATATATTTATTAGAATTGTAATTTGCTGTTAAAAACAATAATTATAATACATCAGTTTCGTTGCGTTGGCAAAAATGGAATTGTTTCTGAAAGGTAACAATATTTTTGTTTGACTGTAAATTTTCCAGAGAACCAAGTGATGTCAGATGATGATCAAGGTTTGCCTCCAGGAGTTGTTCCCCTTCCAACACCTCCAGCCAGGTAAGTCCTCCATCATTAACAATGAACAGTTGTTCCAACACCTGCAGCCAGGTAGGTCCTCCATCCATAACAATGAACAGTTGTTCCAACACCTCCAGCCAGGTAAGACCTCCATCATTAACAATGAACAGTTGTTCCCCTTCCAACACCTCCAGCCAGGTAAGTCCTCCATCCATAACAATGAACAGTTGTTCCAACACCT